GTCCAGAAGCAGATGGCCTTTATGTTGGGCCGCCATGGGGTCTTCCTGGAGCTGAATGAGGATGTGGAGGAGTACGAGGACTTAACAGAGATCATGTCCAATGTCCAGCTCAACAGCAATTTCCTGGCCTTAGCCAGAGAGGTGAGCATTCCAGCTGGGAAAAGCACCCTGGCTATCTCCAGCTGTGGCTGCCCTGGCTGGCAGGGTCTGTGGCAAGATTTGAGAAGAAATCCATTATCCCTAGGATCTGGGCCAGACAACTCCTGGCGAGGTTACCATTGTAGGAAGTGCTGGCTAGGAGGTAACCCCCTTCTCCCTTGTTTTTGCAGCTGGACATCATGGAGCCTAAAGTGCCAGACGATATTTACAAAACCCACCTGGAAAATAACCGTAAGGGCTTGTGTTGTGGCTTTTATCCCTGCCTGTGTGGAGTTACTGAGGCTGCCAAGCACCTCTGAGCCTGTGTGGTCAGATGTGTATCTGAGGTGGGCAGATGGCCTGCCCATGGTCTCTGACCTGTGGATTTGGTCTTTATGCTGGTGATGGGACAGGTCCTTGTTCCCCTATGGTGTGGGATGGGTGCATAGTGGAGGGCTGGCACGGCTTCTGTTACTTCTTTCCTCACCCTATTGTTGTTCCACAGGGTTTGGGGGAAGTGGTTCCCAAGTGGATTCAGCCCGGATGAATTTGGCGTCCTCCTTTGTGAACGGGTTTGTGAATGCTGCCTTTGGACAGGACAAGCTGCTAACAGATGATGGCAATAAATGGTTGTACAAGAACAAGGACCATGGTGAGTTAGCCAGCTGGGCAGGGCTGGAGGTGCCTCTAGGCTTGTGGTTACCACCCTGTCCCTTCTGGGGTGAGGGTGGCTGAGCTGGCCTGTGTCCCTGGCTACTGCAAGCCCTAGGCAGGGCACATCAGTTCAGGCCTGATGTGGGGCTTTCTTCCCTGGAACCACAGGGATGCTGAGTGCTGCAGCTTCGCTGGGCACAATCCTGTTGTGGGACGTGGATGGGGGGCTCACGCAGATTGACAAGTACCTGTACTCCTCAGAGGATTACATCAAGGTCAGTACAGATCCTGGCTCTATGTCTGTGTGGGGCAGTCCTGCTGTGGGCTGGGTGTGCAGCTGGCTGGAGAATGGTCCTTGCTTTGGTTCCCTGTGCAGCTCAGCTCCTGCACAGAGAAGGGTTGGATGCCCTGTGTCCCAGGCTTTTCAGCAGCTCACAGCAAAGTGTGGATCTCTTGGGGACTGTCTGAAGCACCTTGGGGGCTCCCCTTGTCACAGAACGATGAGTTTTGGATTGCTCATCTTAATCCAGAGTGGAGTTGCCCACTTGGTACCAACTTGTCCATCCTGGGGAGTGGGTGTGATGTGTGAGGTGGCATCAGTCGCTGGCTGGCAGGGATCTTTGTGTATTGGTGGCTAGTGTGTGACGGTCCTTCTGCCTTGCAGTCTGGAGCCCTCCTGGCCTGTGGTATTGTCAACTCAGGGGTGAAAAATGAGTGTGACCCTGCCCTGGCCCTCCTGTCCGACTATGTCCTCCACAACAGCAACACCATGAGGATTGGAGCCATTTTTGGGTAAGGGACTGGCTCCAGACTCCCCGTGCTGCACAGGGTGGTGCAGCTCCTCCCTCACACCCCTCTGGACTCTCTGCAGGCTGGGACTGGCATATGCAGGCTCCAACCGCGAGGATGTACTGACTTTGCTGCTGCCTGTGATGGGAGACTCCAAGTCCAGCATGGAGGTAGGGGGTGAGGCAAGGTTTGCCTGTGATTCCTGCTTTTCCAGCCAGTGCCTTGCAGCTCCTGGGAATACAGGCACTGTCCTGCAGCCAGCTTGAGCTCCAAAAGCAAAGCTAGATGTCCCTGCTCAGCACTGTGCTGTGCCAGAAGAGCATGATCCTATTTTCCTTATCTGAGCTGCTGCCACAGTGAGATTTCTGCAGATTTAGGAGGGTAGGAAACCATCAGGTCTCCCAGTAGCCCAGATTTTCAAAGGAAGTGGCGACCAAGAGTATCTAGTGCTGTAGGCCAGCTTACTCTCAGCTGTCCCTGTGTATGACATGGCTCCTTCACTCATCACTAGGTGGCTGGTGTGACTGCCCTGGCCTGTGGGATGATATCAGTGGGTTCCTGCAATGGGGATGTCACCTCGACTATCCTCCAGACCATCATGGAGAAATCAGAGACAGAATTGAAGGACACCTATGCCCGGTGGCTGCCACTTGGCCTGGGCTTGAACCACTTGGGTAAGGCTGGGCAGTGCCAGTGGCTCGTGGGCTGGGAGATGGGGTGGGAGCATCCTTCCACCGTTGTCCTTTAACCACTATGCTTTCCTTGACAGGGAAGGGAGAGGCAATTGAGGCCATCTTGGCAGCGCTGGAGGTGGTGTCAGAACCATTCCGCAGCTTTGCCAACACGCTGGTGGATATCTGTGCTTATGCAGGTGAATTGGGCTGGTCGAGATGGGGGAACCAGGAGCATATCCAGGGTCCTCTGCCTGCTGATCCTGGCCCTCCACTTTCTCCACAGGCTCAGGGAATGTCTTGAAGGTGCAACAGCTCCTGCACATCTGCAGTGAGCATTTTGACTCCAAGGAGAAAGAGGAGGACAAGGACAAAAAGGACAAGAAAGAGAAGGAAAAGAAAGAGAGCTCAGCTGACATGGGCGCTCACCAGGTGGGGAAATGTGGGCTGAGATTTGTGTTCCTGGAGCAGGAACTGGCTTTGGAAGGGTCCCTAAGGTCCCTGTGGTGTCAGAGCAGAGGGAAAACAGCTCCCAACAGGATTCCCTGCTCATCCTGTCCCCCTAGGCTTGGAGTGGGCACAGACGCTTTAGAACTTGGGTGTTGGGCTTGGTGCTCCCTTGCCTGGTGCTCAGTGCCTGTGTCCCCACAGGGTGTAGCGGTGTTGGGGATCGCACTCATTGCCATGGGTGAAGAGATTGGCGCGGAGATGGGCCTGCGCACGTTCGGCCACCTGGTGAGTGACAGACACCAGGGGCACAGCACAGAGCCGGGAAGGGACCTCGGTATAGAAACTGGGTATTGCCTCACATCTCAGTAGACCTTGTTGTACTTGGTGATCTGGGTCTAACACCCACCTCCCCTCTGTGCAGTTGCGGTACGGGGAACCCACCCTCCGCCGTGCTGTGCCTCTGGCTCTGGCTCTTATCTCAGTCTCCAATCCCCGCCTCAACATCCTCGATACCCTCAGCAAGTTCTCCCACGACGCTGACCCCGAGGTCTCCTACAACTCCATCTTTGCCATGGGCATGGTGGGCAGTGGTAAGCCTGGTTGGGGGTTTGTCTGGGGGGAAGGTGGGAGACTCATGCCTTGTACACTACTCTTCCTGCACCTCCTTATCTCCAGGTACCAACAATGCCCGGCTGGCAGCAATGCTGCGGCAGCTGGCCCAGTACCACGCCAAGGACCCCAACAACCTCTTCATGGTGCGACTGGCCCAGGTGATGATAATGTGCTCACTGCTTGTGTGTGGAAGGGGAAGTTTGGGGTCCCTGCCCTGGGTATGGGAGGAGAGTGGTGTCCTGGGGGTGTCACCCTCCTGAGGGCAGGGCTGGGATTCCCAGGTTACTCCATCGCTCTTTCATGTGCCTTCTCTGCCACACCAGGGCCTGACTCATCTGGGCAAGGGGACTCTCACCCTATGCCCATACCACAGTGATCGCCAGCTCATGAGCCAGGTGGCTGTGGCTGGGCTGCTGACCGTCCTCGTGTCCTTCCTGGATGTGCGCAACAGTGAGTAGTGTGGGCTCTGTCCCCTGAGTCCTCTCTGCCCTGCAGCATGGGCATTGCTTAGCCCTTTTACTTCTGTCTCCTCTCCAGTTATCTTGGGCAAGTCCCACTACGTTCTCTATGGCCTTGTTGCTGCCATGCAGCCCCGCATGCTGGTCACCTTCGATGAGGAGCTGCGGCCTCTGCCCGTGTCGGTTCGGGTAGGACAGGTAAGGGGGAGCCAGGGCTGGGGAAGGGGGTGTGCTGATGTCCCTCTGTTTCCCTGGCATTGACCTCGCTCCTCTCTCACAGGCTGTGGATGTGGTGGGCCAGGCAGGCAAGCCGAAAACCATCACTGGCTTCCAGACTCACACAACACCAGTGCTGCTGGCACATGGAGAACGGGCAGAGCTGGCCACAGAGGAGCACGTGCCTGTGACGCCCATCCTGGAGGGATTTGTAATCCTACGGAAGAACCCCAACTATGATGTTTGAGCCAAGGGGAAGCTGGGGGGTGGGTAGGTGGTTTGAGGGGGGAGGGAAAAAACCTAGTTTGTTTTTGTTACCAAGAGTCGAGGAAATAAACTATGTGGAGACTAGTGCTGCCATCCTCTCCTTGCACTGGGAGTGTGAGCTGGGCTCTAATCCTTTTGAGTGTGCCTGTGGCCCATGGAGGCTGTGCACAGTGCAGACCCCAAGATGCAGGGCATGAACACAAAGTTGTGGGATGTAATGGCTGCTCCTAAACTTCGGCATCCAGCTGTGCCCTGTGTGTGCGCCTGGCACCAGCCACATGTGCTCAGAGTGTGCAACTCCCCTTTAGCCTGGCTGGGACTGCCCTCCTAGGGGGGGCTTGGCTGACAACTCCAAACTTTCAACTGCCATTCCAGATGTGCTGCTCCAGAGCTGACATTGGGGTTAAAAGTGGTCAGGGAAGCAGGGACGGAAGCCACATGGGAAGTATTTTTAGCGAAGAAGAAAGCCCTGCCCTGTTTCCAAAACTGACAGTGTCTGGACCTTGCTGTGTCCCAGCTGGATGGACAGGGGAGGCTGTGTCTGGGTGGAAGTGGGATGGGTGCAGGGTAGGGGTAAGGTGCTGCATCCTGCAGGGTATAGGGTGGGGACCATGTCCCCTGTGGGTGTGAGGTGCTGGGTGAGTTCTGGGCAGGTGCAGCTCCTGGCCGGGAGAGGGGTGGGTGCTGGATTGAGTGCAAGTCCCGCGTGAGAGCAGACCCTGGGTGGATGCTGGTTCTGGGAAAGTTACTGGTGCACGAGGGTGCGGCCACGGCTGTGGCCAAGGCTGGATGGAGCACGCGTGAGTGCACGCCGGGGCACTGTGAAGTTCTGGGTGGGCGGAGGTCCTGGGTGAGGCCGGGTCTCGGTGGTGCCAAGCACCGAATGGGTGCAGGTGCCGCTGGTGCCGGTCCCTGAGTGGCTGTGGGACCCGAGTGATATCAGGCCCCGGGTGAGTGCGCGACGCGAACGATGCCGGTGCCAGACGAGCCCACTCACCTCGTGACCGTGCACGGGGTGCGCGGCGAGGGGACGGGACGGCGGGCGTGGCTGCCGCTATGGGGCGTAGCCATGCGGACCCCGGCCTCCTCTGGACGCGCGGGCCTCGCCCCGCCCCGCCACGTGACCGCAGCGGCGGGGCGGGCGCGGCGGCGGCGCAACGTGCGGGGCGGGGGCGGGGCCCGGCGCGGCTCCGGGCGTGGCGGCCCCGCCCCCGTGCGCCCCTCCCCCGCGGCGGCGGCGGGCGCGCGGCCCCGCGGCCCCGCCCCCTGCGCGCGGCGCGGCTCCGGAAATGGTCGTGCTGCGCTGCGCTGCGGCTGCGTCGGGCCGCGCGCGCTGAAGGAGACTGAAGGTAACGGGCGGGGGCGGGGCGGGCGCGCGCCCCGCGGGGGGTGGGGGGGGCGCCGGTACCGGGGCCGCGCGTGCCGCCCTATTCCCCCCCCTTCCCCGGGCTTCGCTCCGCCGGGCCTTGTCGCGTCGCCGCCGCCGCCACCACGTGGGTGCCGCCCCGCCGCCGCCACCCCCTTCCCACGCCCTGTCCCGTGCTTCGCTTCGCTGCTGCGCTGGGCCCCGCTCGTCCCGATGGTCCCCACGTCCCAGTGATCCCGCGGCGGCGGCGTCGGTCCGCGCCCACGTGCCGGCCGGTGCGCCCCGCCGCCGCCACCGCCGCACACGTGCTCCCGGCGCCGCGCCCGCCTAGGCCCGGCGCCGCCGCCGCATGTGTTGCGAGCCTTGTCGCCCCCGCCCCGCCGCGCCTGTCCTCCCGTGCCGCCGCCGGTGCCTGCGGGGCCGCGGTTGCGGCCGGCAGTGACACGTGTCCTTGGCAGAGGCCGCCGCCGCCGCGGGGGGGAGCGGGGCTGCCGGATGCCGCACCGGGCACCGCACCGCGCCCTCCCGCCGCTGCGATGGTGGTGCCGCCGCCCCGGGACGGAGCCGGCCGTAGCCGCCGGTTTGGCCGCCGCCTCGGCCTGGGGGCGAGGCCGCGCTTGGGCCTGGCGGGGCCGGCCGCTCTTGGGCCACCGCCGCGGCCTGTCCCAGCTCTGCCGTCGGTGATCCTCGTCTTGTCCCCCACTCCCCCGTGCGTTCCTGCTTCCCCGATCTGCTGCTCCCGTCCCCCGGCCCCTCATTCGGACCGAGCTGGGCCTTCCTGGACCCCCTCCCGGGCAGGGACCCCCTGCCCCGTCGGCGGGCCCAGCACAGGCCGCGGCCCAGCCGCTCCCGGCGCAGGAGAGGCGGCGGCGACTCCGATTACAAACAGCCGCGGCGGTGCCCCGTTGTTCCCCCGGGATTGAACCCACATTCCCCGGCCTTGCTGGGCTGCTGGGGCCAGTGCGAAGTTGGGGCTGGACCGGGCTCCCCCCGCGGGGCCCGGCCTGATCTCTCTCTCTCTGTCTCCCCCTTCCCTCCTCTCTCCCAGTCAGTCGGATGAACGGTCTCTGCAGGCCCGCTCAGCCGGCCCAGGTTTTTCCCGCGGGGGGGTGAGTATCCTGCTAGCTCCCGGTTGTGTCTGGTGGAGGAGACCGGGTCGGGCTGTCCCCGGGTGTCCCTGTTCCCTGTGAGGCAATCCTCTTCCTCTCTTTTGGGGTGATTGGTCTCAAGGCCTAGTTAAGCTGGCTCAGGTATGGGCTGTCCGTGCTAGGCGCTTGGGTGCCCGGGGGAAGCACTGGGGGATGCAACCCAGCCCCTGCCACCTCCTGAAACCCTGGCAGGGCCCATCTCCTTTGGGGTTGTGGCTTGGGGGATCCTTGTGATGGGGTGGTACCGCCATACCAAGGTGCCACTCTGGAGGGATTGGGGTGCCCCATTTCCCAGTGTTGGTGGGACGTGCCTGGCAGTGCCCGCAGCGGGGCCGGGGGCTGGCAGTGCTGACGCGTCCGGGCGTCAGATTACAGGAGGCACCAGGGCTGCTCCCTTGGGTGTCTGGCCGGCAACGGGCTCGCCGGGTGCCATGGGGTACAGGGGACCCCCGGCAGTATGCGGGGTACCGCCTCTCCTTCCTGCCCCGGCGGCCTTTGCACTGGGGCGGGGAGAGCAGCACTGGCTGCCAAGTCCTTCCTGGGACAGCTGGGAGAGTGTCCGGGCCACCTGGGTGCCAGCGGTGGCAGAGGGCTGCAGACTCCCTTGGGCAGGGTAGTGGGCAGGAGTGTCAGTGGTGCGGGGGGACGTGGGAGCTGCTCCCTGCCTTCCCTGGTAGGCGTTTGTGGTGTATGCTGGGGACCCGGCGCCACCGGCAGGAACAGGTTTGGCCGGCCGGGAGAAGCGCTTAGTAGGTCAGCCGGGGTGGAGCTGGGCACGGCTGACGCCGGGGTGCCGCCGGCCCACCCAGTCCCCTGGAGTTAGTGGTGGCCTAGGTGCTGGTGGCAAATCATGGGCACAGGTGCCCGCTTTTGTGTACGGCCCGGACGGGCTTTGTGGGGTCACCTTGGGTGGGTCAGTCCTGCTGGTGACCATGGCTGGGTCTGGGGCACGATGGTGGGCTCTGAAGGGTGTGAGGACCTGCCTAGGCTGGGTGACTTGGCAGTTCCTGCCCCATCTTCCTCACGGCCCAGTGGGGCAGGAGGGATTGGCTGGTGCCTTGGTGGGATGCTCTCTGTGAGGCATGGCTGATGCCTGGCTTTACACTGGTAGGTTGTGGGACTAAACATTTGCGGATTTCAGGGCTGATGTGGACAGGGGGATAGATGCCTGGGGTGCAGCCATCTCCAGCTTATGCCCACTGTCCCTGTTCCTGCAGATAGCGAGGGGATACTTATGCACAACCCCATGAAATGAACAAAGCTCCACAGCCCACAGGAGGAGCCCCGACTGCCCCGCACCCTGCCCCTTCTCCCGGACTGCCGCAGGTAACCATCCCCTGCAGGGTTGGGGGCCCAGCTTTGCCTCCCCAGTCGGCGCCAGGGACAGTGGTACCATCTCTTTCCCTCCCTGCCTTCTTCCAGCCAACGTTCCCACCTGGTCAGACGGCACCTGTGGTTTTTAACCCGGCACCGACCTCACAAATGAATACGCCTTCTCAGCCGCGCCAGGTAAGGATTTTGTCTAGAGCTGGAGAGGGTGATAAGGGGTATCCACCAGCTTTCTGCTTCCTGGCCGAGTAGCCCACACTGCCATGGAACCCAGGGGTATTAGGAGCAATGTGGTACCCCTTGGGACTGGTGTGTGCCTGTGAAGGGGGATTGAGCTCCTAATCTGGACCACGACTGCCACCTGAGGACCTCCTGGCCCTGGGGTGGGGGGGCAGGCGCCTCCAACAAGGATGCCCACGGAGTGACTGCTCTTCTCTCCTTCCTCCCCTGCCCCAAACCTTCCTTTCCTCCTCTCTCAGTTTCCAGCAGGGCCTCGGGCTATTCACCAGCAGGTACTAACCCGCTTCCCCTGCCCTGCATGCTGAACACCCTTCCCCGACACTGCACAGAAACACCCGCCTTGGGCATGAGGGGGCTGAGGAGCATGTGGGGACCCCGGAATCTGGGAACAGGCTGATCTGGGGAAAGTGTGGGATGCCTGCCTAACTTTGAGTAAGTTTCTCTGCAGTGTCTCCCCAGTTCCCTCCTTGCATGGAGCCTGCAGCATGTGGCTGTGCCTGTGCTAACTCTGGCCCAGGCTGTTGCTTCTGCCTGTGCCCTTCCCTATCTTCCTCTTCCTCCCTGCTTTGCTTGGTCTCCCAAGGCCCTGCAGTGGCAAGTCTCTGGGCCTCCATCAGCCCTCTGAGTGGAGGAGCTGCTGGGGACAGATCTGGTGACATCCTTGGCTGTGCTGTCTGGGAGCTCATCAGACCCATCCCTGCCCCTTGGGAGGTCCCTACAGGGGACCTCAGTATATTTGGGATGTGGGCACAGTGCAAAGGGCTCCCTGGCCTCTTGTCCCTTCCTCTGCTATCCCTGTCCCAGTGTCAGTAACTCCTATCTCTCTTTTTCCCCCTTTCCTTCTGTATGCGTGCGCTTGCTAACAGGGAGGATTCAGGTCTCTTCAGGTAACACTTTCTCCTTGCCCCGGGGGCATCTGCACGAACCCTTACTCGTCGCTGGGCTGGAATTTCTGTTCCCGGGGATGCTCTTGCCCGGCAAACAAGCTGGGTCAGGATGAACGGCATTGGCCAGGGTGGGAATAAGGAGATCCACATGTTGTCCGGCTCCGGCATGGCGGGACTACAGGTCCCAGCATCCCCCGCGAGCGCCAGGAGCCGGTGCAGAGCACGCCGGGACCGCCGCCGCCGAGCTGCGTGCGGCCACGGCTGGCCCCGGGCGCTGGAGCTGCCGGCCCCGGGAGGGCTGGGCCGGGGCCGCGCTGGGCATGAGCTGGGTCAGGTGGACCCAGGCGGCCCCGCAGGTGTGTGGGGACACGATGGTGCCGGGGTGGGGGTAGCCTTGGGGGCTGCTGAGGCGGTGCTGCATCCCGGCAGAGTGGGGGGGCTGATGTTGCTCCCGTATACGGTGGTGGCAGATGAAGGTGCTGGAGCTCCTGCTGACGCTGTGTCCTATCTCTCCCCAAGCATTTCTACCAGAACAGGGCACAGCCTCCTGCCAGTGCATCCCGCGTGCAGAGTAACACGACGGCTCGGCCCGGCCCTCCTGCCCATGTGTATCCAGCTGCTTCCCAGGTGATGATGATACCCTCCCAGATATCCTACACACCTTCCCAAGGAGCCTATTACATTCCCGGACAGGTGAGGGCTATGCTTTGGACTCTGTGGAAGGGGATTGGGATGGGCACCAGTGGGTGGTGTTGTCTGGACTTGGAGCCCAGGTCTCTTTTGGGAGGGTGGAAGGGGTCCTGAGACTCTGAGCATCCACTGACTTGAGCAGGGTGCTGCTGGCTCTGTAGAGAGGCGGCAGGCAGTACTGATCCCCTCCCCAACAGTTCCCCGAGGCACCTGGTGTCTACTCTGCCTGTGTTCTGCTCACTGCCCTGGTGTACGACTAGTTCGCAGGCAGGTTTGGGCTTACATCAGTGTTTTGGGGGTATGTCCATGCCCTGCAGGGGACATAACTGGCTTTTCTTCTTCTCTCCCATTGCAGGGTCGTTCCACGTACGTTGTCCCGACCCAACAGTACCCGGTCCAACCTGGCGCCCCTAGTTTTTACCCTGGAGCCAGCCCCACAGAGTTCGGGACTTACGGTACAGACAGAGGGGTTGCTCCGTTCCTGGGTGCTCTTTCAGTCCCAGCAGTTTCCCGTGTTTTTACTCCCCTGCTTCTGGTGTCTGCATCCTGCCGAGCTGAACACAGCTCACTCTGGCTGACTCTGTGACTCCATTCCAGGCTGTTTTGGGGGACAGTTGCTTGTTGTCCAGCAGCACATCATGTCCCACCAGTCCATTCACACCAGTCCACTCACCCCCGTCTTTTTCCAAATTGAGGCTGTTTAATATTTAACTCTGCTGGTGGAGGACTGGGGCAGACTTTATCCCCTGCTCCCCCTCACTTGCTGTCAAGGTGGTGAGCAGTGCTTCCTGACCCCCCTCAGCTCCTGCTCCCCAGGAGCTGAGCCGGGGTGCTTCATGCCTGCCCCCTCCTGGTGCTTGGGGAGCGTGATTTGAGCAGCCCCTCCTCCTTCCCCCTGCTCGCATGTGGCCACCCGGACTGTGACTATATTTAGGCTTGGTTGGTCCCGGGAGGCCCAGCAGACACAGAAATGTGAGCCGAGGCCTCCGGCCTGGCCCCAGCACAGCAGCAAAACATAACTGGGGCAGAGATGGGCTTCTCCTGAGCCAGGTACGTGCCCGGCCTCCCTCCCTTTTGTCTCAGGGCCCAGCCAGCCCCTCAGAGGAGGGAGGTGGCCTCTGGCAGTGGCTGTCTTCTGTGCTTGGGCCAGGACACTGCTGCACCTTTGTACACAGCCCTGGGACTTGCTCAGGGTATCTCTGAGGTTCCAGGATGGGTGTGCTCCCAACCTCTGCTTTGGGGCTGCTGTGGCTCTTCCTGGGAAAGCTGGCAGCAGCTTGCCTCTTGCCCACAGGACTGGTAGCATGACCCAGCATGGTGTGCCCCTTGAGAAATGAATCAGATCAGGTCTCCTGTCTGGTCCTCAGGGCTAGGCAGCTCAGGGTCTCTTTTCCAGCCCATCCCGGTGTGAGGCCCATTTAGCGTCCCTGCGTGTCCCCTGAGCAAAGGGAGGGTCCCTGACTC